TGGTTGATGTGTCTGTATTTATGAATTCCTTAAAGTTAGGACGGGTAAGGAGAACTTTTTATTTCAATAGTAAGTAGGTATTTATTTTGAAATCAATTGTTGATATTCAAAAGCTTTATAAGTGTGGAAATGAGTACATCTACTACTGTGCATCTAATTATCATAATGTCTTCTGGCGAGATGTTTTCAAGGCTTGGTATATACTTAATAACTGTAATTCTGAGAGTATTTATAGACAGGAATCAATTCTAAAAACACCTTTATGGTATAATAAAGATATCAAGATTAATGGAAGGCATGTTTTCTATTCCCATTGGCTCAATCTATACGGTTAATGATTTACTCATAAATGTTGACAGTAGGAACTTTCTCTCCCTTCACGAATTTTCACAAAGTTTCCAGATAATTGCTAATTTTCTTCAATACTATGGTCTAGTTCGTGCAGTCAGACAATTTCTTAGAAATTATGTTGTGTTGGAAACTACTTCTCAGCCTGCCATTCCGCCCCAATTAGAAATCTTAATAAAAAAAGGGTCAAAAGACTTCTATAATGGTATTATCCCAGCAGCACCAGAGTCTACTGGGACCGGAAAATGGAATCTGGAATTTGATTCTAATGATGAGAAATGGAAGAAAACATTCAAAATACCATTCTTAATTACCAAAAATTCTAGACTGCAATTGTTCCAGGTTAGAATCATATATCGTATTTTGGCAACAAATATTTTTCTTCATAAAATAAACTTAGTTGATAGCCCTTTATGTACCATTTGTAATCGGGAAAATGAAACAATTGTGCACTGTCTCTGGGAGTGCCAAGAGGTCCAGACATTACTTCAGCTATTTGAATCTCTCCTTGATATCTTATTTATTCCGTTTGCGTATAACAAAGAATCGTTTCTCTTTGGAATAGTATTGCAAAATTGTACTCCTGTTGATAATGAAATACTGCTTGTTATCAAATTTTACAAATATAAAAGTAGATGTCTTAGTAATTCTCTACACCTTAATGCAGTTGTCAATGCCATAAAGGACCATTACTGGACTCAAAAATATATCTATAGCAGTAAAACGGATCTCCGTAAAAAGCAGTTTGAAGTTGATTGGAGTAAATGGAAGCCCATTCTGGAACTTTAGTAAGTCTTTCCTGGAAATTGTTCATTTTCAGTTACAATATATTTTTTATTGGAATTATACTACTATTAGTAATCTACCGTTTTACAGTGCAATAGCTTGTAAAGACCCTGACATATTTTGCCTACAATTTTTGTCCACTTTAAAAAGGTATTCATCTCACACTAAATTTATTGATGCTTTTTCTGTCTATTATTCCTCAAATACAAAGCTGTGTGTCTCTCTCTCTCTCTCTCTCTCTCTCTCTCTCTCTCTCTCTCTCTCTCTCTCTCTCTCTCTCTCTCTAACTTCCCATCTCTTCTTTTCTCTTTCCCTGTCTGTCCATTCGGATAGAATATTTAAATACATGCATATATTTGAGCGTTGGTGTGTGTACAGTGTGTTCGAGGGTGTGTGTATATGTGATTGTGTATGCGTGAGTGTGAGGGTGGGCGCGTGTGTGATATGGCGTGTGTGTGTTGGGTGTGTGTGTGTGTGTGCTGTGTGTGTGTGTGTGTGTGTGAGTGTGTGTGTCTTGTGATACATTGTAGATAGTTGAACTTATACGGTATGTACATTGTATAGAAATTAAAGTAAAGTGGTTATATTACGTCATATATGCAAAAACACTTAACTGCAAGTCTGATGATATTGATGATGATGATGATGATGATGATGGTGGTGGTGGTGGTGAATGTATTATGTTGTTGATGTTGTTTGATGATGATGTTGTTGTTGATGATGATGATGATGATGATGATGATGATGATGATGATGATGAATGGATGACAATGTTATGACACTGATGATCAAGTATGATGTTCTTGTATCATCAAGTATTAAATATGGTGATGGTGATGATGATGATGATGATGATTGGATGATGGTTGTGATGATGAGGATAATGAATGCAGCAGTGTTGTATATCTGTAATGATTTTCTTGAAATTGTCTAAAATGTATGGAAAATAACAATAATAAAAAAAAATTTTAAAAAATGGGCTCCAGGCAACCATCATGGATTTGGCAGTTAAAGATTATTATCGATATTGCTGCAAAGAAAATGTTCAAATTCATCATTAATAACAAAAACAGAGACGATAAGAGAAAAGAAGGGAAAATATCCAACTTTCAAAGAACAAATAAAGATCAAACAATGGTGGGCTCCAAGATCCATGTGGAGAACTCTTGTACAAATGATATATTCGTTTATGCCAAGTCTTCCAAACTCTATAATTATTCGGATGACAATATAATAATTACATCAAGCAAAGACCCTCGTGTTGTAAATCAAACAGTCTATTCAAGCAGACTGTACAAATTTGGTTAAATGGTTCCTGATATCAATCTCAGATTATATATTTTGGTAAAAAAAACTGTCGCGATTTCAAAATGTTTTGAGATAGAAAATGTAGCTATCAAGCCTGAAAAAACTGTAAAAATTACTTAAGTTTGACTCCTTTTAAAATTTAGATACGTATGCCTCAGAAATGTGCTTTAACGTTTCTACTCAGCTACACATGTTTCTAAAAATAGAATTCTTATAAACAAAGCGATATACATATAGGATGATCTCATGGAATTCTTTCAATATATGCTGTTTTTAATTTTGCCCATTGGTTTGGCATTTTACAAATTTGAAAAATGCAATAAAGATGTAAAAAGGCCAGGGGCGTGTACTGAGATTTGTTCAGAGTGATAATGTTTCATCTTTTGATAAGCTTTAAGATCCGCAAACACCCCTTTATTACATGATAAGAGGTTTACGGATATGGTATGAGAAATTTTCAAAATCTCTCCTACATATATACAGGACCTAGTTAAACTTAAATGATTTGTTTAAGAATTTTGGGAGGGGTTTTACAGTCAACATTCTGAAAGTGTAGAAAGCACAACAAGGTAGGTCAGAAGTCCTTCGTATTTTCGTAATGCAGAGTTATCTGCTCTTGTGAGCGAGTTTTGGTTTTTTGAGCTTGAGTTCTTGATTGAGAAAACAACGCAAACTAGGGACGAAATAATCAATACTACTAACAAAGGCAGGTAACTCTGCATTACGAAAAGACGGAATTGTGGGATGTGATTACTTCCCAAAATTCTAAAGGGCTGGTTCGCCTGGGATAGACCCATCTACATGTATTTTTAGAGCTTTTAATATGTAAGCTTATTGTTTTCATTTTATTTTTCAGTACTGCTTTGTATTCCACTCCTATTTTACTTTGCAATTGTCGGTAACGTTGAAAATGGACCCGCGCTGAAAACAGAACCGACTAGCCCTGTAAAGTGTGATTTAATTGAGAAGTGGACAATGTCTTTAAGGCATGCCATAGAAATAGCATGGAACCTTCAATTATATAACTTGTCATATAAAAATAATCATATTACGACATGCGTCCATAATTGATCCAAGACTAATCCTTGGTCCATACGTTCTGAGCCCATGGAATCATTCCTAAAGCCCGGACGTCAACGTTTAAAAACAGTTGAGATCCCAGATCATTTCAGGAATGGCGAGACGAACACACTCGTGGCGAACAGCACATTTGTGTTGCTGATTTTGATTCTGTTATATCTTATGTTCACTGTAGAATTAATTTATATATTAAACATCACGTCACATGTACTGAAGTACTCGTCCTAAATACTGTTGATGCTGATTATACTAAGGAAAGTGCTAAACATGTTAAATGGAGATGTGATCTTTACAAATTTTACAAGACTTTACAAATTTGATTAAATCATAATTTTTTTGAAATTTACTTAGTAAATGAAAAGTTGAACCAGTTAAGTGGTTCCCTACAGTCTGTTAACGCACAAAATAAATTAATAATGCTGTTGCTGAAATAAGCAAAATATTTGCAGATTCTTGTGAATTGGTGTTTGGACTAAATAAAAGAAACTCGTATTTGTCGCATAAGCATCAGTAATAACAAACCGTGATATTCACAAGAGTGCGTGATGAAAAGGTACGAAAGCGTATTTGTGCAACTTTAAAACTTTTTTATTTTATGTTTTATCTGTAAATTTTACACATTTATCTGTAAAATTTACATATTACTAATTTTTCACTTTAATCTGTAAATTTACATTACACGTTAATCTGTTAAGTTTTCACTTTAATCTGTAAAATGTAAAGTTTACAGATTAATATGTAAAATTTCTTGATTAAGGTGTAAAATTTACTGACTGACGTGTAGAATTTACTGACTGACGTGTAGAATTTACTGACCGACGTGTAGTATTTACTGACCGACGTGACCGACGTGTAGAATTTACTGACCGACGTGTGGAATTTACTGACCGACGTGTAGAATTTACTGACTGACGTGTAGAATTTACTGACTGACGTGTAAAATTTAAGAAAGTTTTAAAGTTGCACTAATACGTTTCCGAAAATATCAGCTTGGAGGTCTTAAATAATAATGAAGCATATTTTTATGTATTGTTGTAATATTTTGGTTTAACTTTGATTTATTATATACTATTCGATACTTTGTTTGTACTTTGCCAAAACATTACTTTTAATTTCTGTAATATTTTTATATGTTTGGTCGTAATAATAAATGGATCTTTCTAAGCTGGTGCTTCATGCTTTCTTATATACGTCAAAACACTTTCCTTTATCTTGTTATTACTGACAGTGAAATATCAATATTGCCAGCGAACATCAGAATTTAAGCCATGTGAAAAAGTATTGATCAATACCCTGACATGTTAAAATCCGGATTTGTTTTACCCACTAGTTGTTTTATTCTCATATATACTTTCCACTACCTACATCAAGGTCTGTGCAACGATTTACTCTCAGGCGTTTACGAATTTTACAGTCAAGCTTGAATTTAACTGCGATTAATTTGTTTGCGATCGCTACAAGAATTTGTGTCCACGAGGATGTCGAAGTTTCGTAATATGACGAGCGGGCCAGACGCTGTTATATCTCTCGGTAATATAACACTTTTGTAGTTCTAATGTTAATGACTGACAAAGACACTAATGTTTCCGAGTTTATCTAGATTTCTATGTCGTCAAACCACGCACATCCAAGAATCATTTCTCGTTATTTACACTATGTCGATGAACTGGCACCAAACAGATGTATAAATGACTTGTGTTCATACTTTAAGATTTATTTAAAAACTTACCGGTGAAACACCAGTATCTTTTCAAAAAAAAATATACTAACTCAAATTCGTTCACCTGAAATGACCGACATGTGTATCGGACATGTGACTGTACTTCTGTGATCAATAAATCACAGAGATGCTTCAGTTAGTTTACAGTGACCCAGAAATACACATGTATTACTTAAAATCATCATTTGATGGAATGGGATTTTAACGACAAAATATTAAAATGACATAATGCTGTATAAATGGTGGATATCTGTGACGACGTGTGCACCTTTTCTAAGGGGTTAGATTCCAGTTTTCTCAAATGAAAAATATTTCGTGGTAAATTGGAAATGGACCACAAAATTCGAGAATTCCTCTAACCACATTTCATCACCTTTCAAGGTTACATACTTCTTTTTACTAAGTTGTCTTCCTTAATTACATTTTTATTATCAAGTTTAGGGTATTAACTTGCCAAGTGCTGGTACATTCTTATTTAAGTGTGGTTATATTTTGATATATTTGATACTGTATTAACTGCAGAAATACTATAGGGAGGATGATTCCAATGTAATTTACAAAGTACTTGTATATATGCAATACAGTAATAAGACATGTTAAATATCAAATTACAGCTTCGATGTTCAGATCTTCATTGGGCGTGAGACATGGGTAAGTGATATTGATCTTATTGTAATGAATTGCTTTATTTGTCTGTATATTATATGCTGAAGCTTTGTGCCTTATTGATATAATATTCCTGTTACCTTTGTAATACAATATGTAATCAACACAATTTACACCACGAAAGAACTTTTCAAATTGTTTTGTGACTAAACGGTCTACTAGTAGAAATCACTGAAATCATAAACAGAAATTTATAAAATCTGCATTCTTTTGTTTAAATATTGCTATTTGTACTATAATTTAATTTTGTTTTAAAACTATTACAGAAAAAGATCTGGAATAATTCTTTGACTGTTATGAGAAAAAGAAATAATGCATTATCTTTTCTATAAGGTTAGACATACAGGATCCAATCACAGAAAGGATGTTCTGAAACTGTGCTGATTTATTTACAGATACAAATGCATAGTTGATGGTGACAAAGAACTTTTCTTGAGGTCAGCGTCCCTGATGCTACAGAACCTGGATATTGAGGTAATGATACAGAGTAGGTAAGATTATGGATGTCTGGGATGCTGTTTTCAAGAATTAAAATAAACGAAAGGAATTAGGTGGCAGCCTTGTAGCTTGACAAATTCAAACTGCTGACTGTGATCAAGTATTGTGTTGATCTATATTTGATAGTTTTCAATATTTCCTATATATTATGACATTGTCTAATAATCCATGCAGTAAATGTGTATGATATGTGTTTAGTCATTGATGATTTATACATTTAAAAATATCTAACCAATATTTCTAGGTCATTTTTAATATGAAGTCATGAAGGAAGATGGTGGTACACATTCTGTGAACATGGTGTGCATTACATAAAAAAAAAACAGTTGATGTTTAATGTTTTTAAGAAGGAACTGCTCAGTAATTTTACAAACTGTATCTTTCATGCTAGCAACTCCAGTTGTCCCACCCAAAACTGGTGAAAATCTACCAAAAAGTAAAAACCTAGTAGATATTTTCTTTGTAGTTGTCAGACCAGACAGGTGTTTTGTTACATGTAAGTTATGACACTGGCTCAATAAAAACAGGTTTTTAATAGGAATTTTATCAAATAAAAGTTGGCATACTAGCGATTAGAGTAACAAAGGAAAATAGTCAAACATAACAGGGAACTGGAGCAAAATAAATATTGTTATTATCAGTGATACCAGAGTGTTTAAAATATTGTTAAATACACACAAGACCATAATAACATGTTGTGGTGGTATACATTTACAGCATCCTGTTGGTCAGTACCTTGTTCTCACCTGTCAATCATTCCACAAACGTCATGGAAACGGCGTCAAAACGCTCCTCTTTCTGATTGGGTCCCTGATGGAGATGGCTGTCTCTCAACAGGAAAAAGTAAAATATTTATAAATAAGAAGCATAAAATTTTGACTTTTTCATCACTGTACTTACTAAAAATCTTATTCAAACTTCACAATGCGTATATAGAGCAAATAATTATAATTAATGGTAATTTTATCTTAGTGCTTTTTGTTTAAAAATTATCAATGAAAATGTTATTGTGCTAATATTTGTTTCTGGATATTGTTATCACAAATTTATCATTACCCTTATCAACAAGTGATAATGCACTAAAATTTGATTGCACTAGATTCAATACTCTTACAGTAATTTGTCTTTTCTTAGGGGGCTTGCCGTAGCTAAGTTGGTAGAATATTTACTATATAACCTCAGGTGAAGATCAGAGGTGTGTTGTTCCAAGTTCCTTACAGGTGGCAATTTGTCTTTCTCAGGAAGCTGAGAAATGGATTGGTTCGTGGTGACATAGCTATGTCCTTGGGCGAGACAATTTACACTAATTACTCCAGATGGCATATGACACGCCTCCCATATATCATTCAGTGAGGCAGCTACTATAATGGAACCTAAATATAAACCTGGACATTCATGGAGCAATTTACATCAGTGAAACTACAGGACTAAAAAACTTAACTTTACAACAAGATCTCAACTTATGTAAAAAATTGCTTATATTTTCCATTGGTCAAGATGGAAGCTTAGTTGAGGGTCTTTTACTATTAATGCAAACTGGAATATTCAGAAAATTTTAGGTGTTTTTTGCAGGTGTCCTTATAAGTTTTAGGGATAGGAATCATGTTGGCTCAGGTAAAATTCTCTTATTTTTGTGATAAAACATACATTGCTATAAATAATTAATGGTTCACTTCCACAGGCTATACCAGTGTGTGACATCGTGTCGGCTATCCAAGAAGGGGTCAAGCAGTGTCAGAAGGTCATTGAAGAGGTCAAGCTACCATTGTCTGATGTCTTACAGTCATGTGATCAGGGCAAAGTCTTTCCATCGACAACTGAACAATCACCAAGTGAGACAACAACAGGATTCCCCACTCCAGCAATTCCTAAGCCTGCTTTAGCGATGGTACAGCTAAGCCTTAAAGAAAAGATTACAGAGCCTGAGGAGGATGTTGATTGGTTCTTTGATGATAATCCAATCCTCCAAGGTCATGATAGTAATAGTCATATCAAAGTTCAAGGTCATTCAATACCAGATGTTTTTGAAAACAGAACAAGGGACACTGACTTTGTGATGACTTTAGCTGTAACACATGAAACTCTCTCGGATGACTCTGACTTTGATGATTGTTTTGAGGACATTCCAGAAGTAAGAAAAACCGGAACATCAGATTCTTGCAACACTCCCAGTTCCAGACTTCGTGTTGCAGACACCTCGAACACATCATTGGCAAAATCGTTTGATATTTCCAAACCCAGCAATAATGTCAATTCAGGTCTTCTAGAAAGTCAAGGCCAGAGAAGACAGGAAAGTGGGACTGGTCATGTAGATAACAATTTTAGTGAGGAGTATGGTAGCAGGGAGTCGACTGTTGGCAAATCCTCCAATGAAGGCCAACACACCATAAGAAGTCAGCAGGTCACAGGTCAAGGTATTTTAGGTCCACCTGACCTGGATAAAAATTCCAGCCATAGACAAGTGTTGTCTGAAACTTTTGCAATAAAATTGAAAGAGTTATTACACCAAAAGATGAGAAATAAGAAGCAGGAGCACACAGTTATTTATAATTCTAGTCGGCACTTCAGATCTGTTGAATCAACAGTGGACATGCTAAAGCAAGGAAAATTCAGTACAGATCAAAAGAATCTCACTCATGAATTCATGTATCCTTGTACCCATGACCATCAACATCAGTCAGTAACATCTCAAGGTCAGTGTCTGAAGGATCAAGGACATTTTTTTCATAATCAATCATGTTATAAAGAGGAAAGCTTAAATAAACAACCATACAGACAAGAAATACCAGAAACAACACATTCTGTAAGTTTGGAGAAAAAGCTTGGTGATATACTAGGAAAGGCAAGGTCACAGAAAATGTCTGGGGCAATGCTTCAGAGTCGACACTTTATAGAGATAGGACAATGTATTAATGACATTGAAACAGTTCAAAGGTTAGAGACTAAAGGTCAGTATAAAATGGATGAGAAGGTATTCACTAAAGATCAAACGCTGACAGACAAAAGTGATTTTGCAGTATCAGCATCTCAAAGTTCAGAGGTCAAAATACAAGAACAAAATATGTTAGCACAAGGTCAGAATTCAAAGGTTCAAAATCAGGAAAAAGGTATGCTATCACAATCTTTTGAGAGTTTAGAAGTAAAAAGTGGGGATTCAGGGTCAGTATCTACAGGAGATCTTCATGTACTGTCAGGGTTTGACTTGATGAACAGGAGAAGTGTTTGTGGAGTCAGTGGAGAGATAGACTGGTGGGTGGGGCTGAAGAGTGTGGCCAGGAGTTTGAGTCATTGTGATGAAGATATGATGGATATTTTAGTAGAGGCTGCCATGTCACAGTGGAGGACAGAGGGATGTCAGGATTTGAGGAGTCAGGCCAGGTAGTATTAATAATTGTGCTGTAGAAATATATCTAATTCACAAAAAAGCCAAGTATGTGAACCAGATCAATTGGGTTTCTGTTAGTCTTCTCTCTTATTTTCTGTTCCCTAATATCGTCATACAGATTATCTTTGTATTCCATTTTAAAAATGACATCCCATAATTTTTTTTCCTTAGTTGTATACTATATTAGTGTAAACATTGATATAATATGTAGACATTGCCATATTATTTTCATCTGCATTAAAAGATTGCTTTCTTTTTTTGTCAACACTTCACTGATGATGTTGACAACCACTGTTTTCCAGGTTGACGTCAGACTTGCTGTATTGCTGTGTAACCCTGGGTCCTTTTCCTACATCTCGCCTTGTGTCTGGGGTTATCATGGCTGCTGAGGTGGCCAACTTACCTCTAGTTCATCAGTATAAGGACAGACCACTCAATGCTATTGTAAATACTGAAATTTTATGCTCAAGGATATCTCAGCTTGAAATCCATTTCAGTTTCAATTGTTTTTGTGAAAATTGAAAAATTTCTTTACAATTTACATCAAAAGTCATACATCTTGTTTATCTACAATAATTACCATCTTAATGTGGTACAATTTAGTTTTCAAATTTACTTTGATCATATCCAGAATGTAGTAAAAATATCCTTAAGATGTTGTCATTGGTATTTTGAAGAGTTGTATCTTTTTGTGTTATTAGATGATCAATGGAGATATCAAGCCAAATTATCATCACATTGGATACAAACAAACATTGGAGGTTCAAAAAACAATGACTGCTCTAGATTTCCTCCACACTGATAAGCAGTCAAGCTGGCTCAATAATGTGGAAGACATACTTCATCAGGTAACAGAGGTTATCACCTGATCCCAGTGATAATTAGGACAGAACACCATTGGCTTACTTCCTGGAATTATAGTGAAGCTCCAAATATTTTTTGCCACAGCTTTAAACAAGAAATATCAGTCAATCTTCAAAATTCTAAAAATTAACTACATGTCCTGTCATTTACTAGGGTAGGCCTCCCCATTTTCACTGTACAGAGCTATAATTGAGTACCTTTCAAAGCCTGAATATCAGTGAGACATTCACGTTATTGTTTGTCAGAAGTACATAAATCAGTACATCTTTTAGCACAACAGCTTGTCGTCATGTTCCATCACATTTTTTATAAGTATTACATTGTATTTTACAGTTCTCCGTTATGTGTCTTCTTGTGCGTGGCTCAGTCTGTGATGAGGTCAAGGTCATGTGTGAAACACTTGGTGTGATTGCTATAGAGAATGTTCCATATAAGGCATTGCAAGTGATGTGTGCAGCCACTGTAACCAGCATGACTACCTATCTAACTGAGGTGAACAAGGTGAATATCTCTCTCATATATCATAATCTAAGGTCCCGTTGGGAAGCTGGTTAGAGGCTTTACATTTGAAGGAGGTGACTGGTTGTCTATAAATAGATTTGTTTGTATTAACCCATGGCACCTTGTAATTAGTAACTGTAAAATCATAAACATGTATTTTTGTAAAGCTCAATCATCATTATTCATACTTTATTTTGTGGACCAGTATAACAAGTATCTCAGTATATAAACTTATACTAATTTTAACAGTTCATGGACATATCAATTGGTGGATCAATAGTATCCATGAAAAAGTGAAAACAAAGTGTGCACAGAAGTAGCCACCATTTTGTCAAAGTCAAGATCTCTTTTCACCAACTTATGCATGTAATATGTATCATTTCTGCTGTGAATGCATTGTTGACAAATAACTGTACATCCTGCTTATACGATTAATATATCAGAGTAATTGATTAATCATCCCTGTAATGAACAGACCAGTGTGTGTAGCAGCATTTCCTTAGATATCTACACCGACAAATGGATGATGGGATGTGAGGCTAATTTTGTCAACGTTGCTTGTAACAACACACCTGTCCAGGTAAGTACACCCTCACTGCAGGTATGAACATCCTCTCTCCAGGTATGTACATCCTCTCTCCAGGTACATACACCCTCTCTCCAGGTACATACATCCTCTCTGCAGGTACATCCACCCTCTCTCCAGGTATGTACATCCTCTCTCCAGGTACATACACCCTCTCTCCAGGTATGTACACCCTCTCTATAGGTATGTACATCCTTTCTTCAGGAACATACACCCTCTCCCCAGGTACATACATCCTCTCTCCAGGTATGTACACCCTCTCTCCAGGTATGTACATCCTCTCTCCAGGTACATACACCCTCTCTACAGATATGTACATCCTCTCTCCAGGTACATACACCCTCTCTCCAGGTACATACACCCTCTCTCCAGGAACAAACATCCTCTCTTCAAGTATGTACATCCTCTCTCAAGGTACATACATCCTCTCTCCTGGTATGTACACCCTCTCTCCAGGTACATACACCCTCTCTCCAGGAACAAACATCCTCTCTTCAAGTATGTACATCCTTTCTCCAGGTACATACATCCTCTCTCCTGGTATGTACACCCTCTCTCCAGGTACATACACCCTCTCTCCAGGTACATACACCCTCTCTCCAGGAACAAACATCCTCTCTTCAAGTATGTACATCGTCTCTCCAGGTACATACATCCTCTCTCCTGGTACATACATTCTCTCTCCAGGTACATTCACCATCTCTAAAAGTACATACAGCCTCTCTCCAGGTACATACATCCTCTCTCCAGGTACATACATCCTCTCTCCAGGTATGTACATCCTCTCTCTAGGTACATACACCCTCTCTCGAGGTACATACACCCTCTCTCCAGGTATGTACATCCTCTCTCCATGTACATACACCCTCTCTCCAGGTATGTACATCCTCTCTCCAGGTACATACACCCTCTCTCCAGGTATGTACATCCTCTCTCCAGGTACATACATCCTCTCTCCAGGTACATACAGTCTCTCTCCAGGTACATAAACCCTCTCTCCAGGTACATACACCCTCTCTCCAGGTACATACACCCTCTCTCCAGGTACATACACCCTCTCTCCAGGTATGTACATCCTCTTTCCAGGTACATACACCCTTTCTCCAGGTATGTATATCCTCTCTCCAGGTACATACACCCTTTCTCCAGGTACATACACCCTCTCTCCAGGAACAAACATCCTCTCTTCAGGTACATACATCCTCTCTCCAGGTACATACACCATCTCTCCAGGTATGTACATCCTCTCTCCAGGTACATACACCCTCTCTCCAGGTACATACATCCTCTCTCCAGGTACATACACCCTCTCTCCAGGTATGTATATCCTCTCTCCAGGTACATACACCCTCTCTCCAGGTACATACATCCTCTCTCCAGGTATGTACATCCTCTCTCCAGGTACATAACCCTCTCTCCAGGTATGTACATCCTCTATCCAGGTACATACACCCTCTCTCCAGGTACATACATCCTCTCTCCAGGTACATACACCTTCTCTCCAGGTATGTACATCCTTTTCCAGGTACATACAACCTCTCTCCAGGTACATACACCTCTCTAAGTACATACATCCTCTCTCCAGGTACATACACTCTCTCTCCAGGTATGTATATCCTCTCTCCAGGTACATACAAACTCTCTCCAGGTACATACACCCTCTCTCCAGGTATGTACATCCTCTCTCCAGGTACATACACCCTCTCTCCAGGTACATACACCCTCTCTCCAGGTATGTACATCCTTTCTCCAGGTATGTACACCCTCTCTACAGGTACATACATCCTCTCTCCTGGTATGTACATCCTCTCTCCAGGTACATACACCCTCTCTCCAGGTACATACAACCTCTCTCCAAGTATGTACACCCTCTCTCCAGGTACATACACCCTCTCTCCAGGTATGTACATCCTCTCTCCAGGTACATACACCCTCTCTCCAGGTACATACACCCTCTCTCCAGGTATATACATCCTCTCTCCAGGTACATACACCCTCTCTCCAGGTACATACACCCTCTCTCCAGGAACAAACATCCTCTCTCCAGGTACATACACCCTCTCTTCAGGTACATACATCCTCTCTCCAGGTACATACACCCTCTCTCCAGGTACATACACCCTCTCTCCAGGTATGTACATCCTCTCTCCAGGTACATACACCCTCTCTCCAGGTATGTACATCCTCTTTCCAGGTACATACACCCTTTCTCCAGGTATGTATATCCTCTCTCCTGGTACATACATCCTCTCTCCAGGTACATACACCCTCTCTCCAGGTATGTATATCCTCTCTCCAGGTACATACACCCTCTCTCCAGGTACATACACCCTCTCTATAGGTATGTATATCCTCTCTCCAGGTACATACACCCTCTCTCCAGGTATATACATCCTCTCTCCAGGTACATACACCCTCTCTCCAGGTATGTACATCCTCTCTCCAGGTACATACACCCTCTCTCCAGGTATGTATATCCTCTCTCCAAGTATGTACATCCTCTCTCCAGGTACATACATCCTCTCTCCTGGTACATACATTCTCTCTCCAGGTACATACACCCTCTCTCCAGGTATGTATATCCTCTCTCCAGGTACATACACCCTCTCTCCAGGTATGTACACCCTTTCTTGAGGTATGTACATCCTCTCTCCAGGTACATACACCCTCTCTCCAGGAACAAACATCCTCTCTCCAAGTATGTACATCCTTTCTCCAGGTACATACATCCTCTCTCCTGGTACATACATTCTCTCTCCAGGTACATTCACCATCTCTAAAAGTACATACAGCCTCTCTCCAGGTACATACATCCTCTCTCCAGGTACATACATCCTCTCTCCAGGTATGTACATCCTCTCTCCAGGTACATATAACCTCTCTCTCGAGGTATGTACACTCTCTCTCCAGGTATGTATATCCTCTCTCCAGGTACATACAAACTCTCTCCAGGTACATACAACCTCTCTCCAGGTATGTACATCCTCTCTCCAGGTACATACACCCTCTCTCCAGGTACATACACCCTCTCTCCAGGTATGTACATCCTTTCTCCAGGTATGTACACCCTCTCTACAGGTACATACATCCTCTCTCCTGGTATGTACATCCTCTCTCCAGGTACATACACCCTCTCTCCAGGTACATACAACCTCTCTCCAAGTATGTACACCCTCTATACAGGTACATACACCCTCTCTCCAGGTATGTACATCCTCTCTCCAGGTACATACACCCTCTCTCCAGGTACATACACCCTCTCTCCAGGTATATACATCCTCTCTCCAGGTACATACACCCTCTCTCCAGGTACATACACCCTCTCTCCAGGAACAAACATCCTCTCTCCAGGTACATACACCCTCTCTTCAGGTACATACATCCTCTCTCCCGGTACATACACCCTCTCTCCAGGTACATACACCCTCTCTCCAGGTATGTACATCCTCTCTCCAGGTACATACACCCTCTCTCCAGGTATGTACATCCTCTTTCCAGGTACATACACCCTTTCTCCAGGTATGTATATCCTCTCTCCAAGTATGTACATTCTCTCTCCAGGTACATACATCCTCTCTCCTGGTACATACATCCTCTCTCCAGGTACATACACCCTCTCTCCAGGTATGTATATCCTCTCTCCAGGTACATACACCCTCTCTCCAGGTACATACACCCTCTCTATAGGTATGTATATCCTCTCTCCAGGTACATACACCCTCTCTCCAGGTATGTATATCCTCTCTCCAGGTACATACACCCTCTCTCCAGGTACATACACCCTCTCTCCAGGTATGTACATCCTTTCTCCAGGTATGTACATCCTCTCTCCAGGTACATACATCCTCTCTCCTGGTACATACATTCTCTCTCCAGGTACATACACCCTCTCTCCAGGTATGTATATCCTCTCTCCAGGTACATACACCCTCTCTCCAGGTATGTACACCCTTTCTTGAGGTATGTACATCCTCTCTCCAGGTACATACACCCTCTCTCCAGGAACAAACATCCTCTCTCCAAGTATGTACATCCTTTCTCCAGGTACATACATCCTCTCTCCTGGTACATACATTCTCTCTCCAGGTACATTCACCATCTCTAAAAGTACATACAGCCTCTCTCCAGGTACATACATCCTCTCTCCAGGTACATACATCCTCTCTCCAGGTATGTACATCCTCTCTCCAGGTACATATAACCTCTCTCTCGAGGTATGTACACCCTCTCTCCAGGTATGTACATGCTCTCTCCAGGTTCATACACCCTCTCTCCAGGTACATACAACCTCTCTCCAGGTATGTACATCCTTTCTCCAGGTATGTACACCCTCTCTACAGGTACATATACCCTCTCTCCAGGTATGTATATCCTCTCTCCAGGTACATACACCCTCTCTACAGGTATGTACATCCTCTTTCCAGGTACATACACCCTCTCTCCAGGTATGTACATCCTCTCTCCAGGTACATACAACCTCTCTCCAGGTATGTACATCCTTTCTCCAGGTATGTACACCCTCTCTACAGGTACATATACCCTCTCTCCAGGTATGTATATCCTCTCTCCAGGTACATACACCCTCTCTACAGGTACATACAACCTCTCTCCAAGTATGTACACCCTCTCTACAGGTATGTACACCCTCTCTCCAGGTATGTATATCCTCTCTCCAGGTACATACAAACTCTCTCCAGGTACATACGCTCAACCAGCTGAAATCAGGTTTTTGTACTACGGTCAAGGTTAATGGCATGGATTTAAACACAGAATTTATTCTGTTATGGTATTAGTTTGACTGAAATAGATATTCTACAAAAATTTTTAATGATTTGCCTAAGTCAATATGGATGGAACAAATTTTGCCATTAAATATATCCTCAAGTATAAGTCTCTGTGATGACATCAAATGATGGGTTTTTAGGTCGCCTGAGCCAAAGGCTCATGATGACCTATTGCCATCATGATTTGTCTGTCCTCGTGCGTCGTTAACTTTTCATATATTCGACTTCTTCTCAAAAACCACCAAATGGATTTTGACCAAACTTGGCACAAAGCATCCCATATAAAGCCGCTTCAAGTTGGTGAAGAAAAAGGGCATGGCCCAAATAGAGGCCCCAGGAGGGGGAAAAAGGGGGCAAAATTAGGTAAATCTTTAAAAATCTTCTTCTCATGAACCAACAGTCAGATTAAGTTCATATTTGATATTTAGTGTCCTTATGGCAAGGTCTACATAGTTTGCGAATGAAAAAAAAATCGGGTCAAAAACGGCCCCACTAGGGGGCGCTCAAAAGGGTCAAAAATTCAACTTTGACCGATTTCAACCAAATTTGGTAGACAGCATCCCTTAGTGAAGGACATATGAAATTATGTTGAAAAAAGTGATTATGTCCCCTTTGGGGCCCATAAGGGGTGTAAAAGGGGCCATATGTAAAAACCTTCCTTCAATGACTTCTTCTCAAGAACCATTGGATTGATTTTGACCAAACTTGGCACAAAGCATCCCAATGTGAAGCCGCTTCAAGTTTGCGAAGAAAATGGGTGTGGCCCCAGGAGGGGGGAAAAGGGGAAACTTGATACGAATGTTCTACACAAGGTCTTGGCAAGTGTTTAAACTTTTTGGGGCGATTCAAAATCCAAGATGGCCTCCCTGGCCTCTGTTTGGCTAAGACATTATGGACTTCCTCTCAAGAACCATTGGATGGGTCATGTTCAAACTTGGTACAGATGTTTTACACTTGGTCCTGCACAAGTGTTGTTACATTTTTGCAACATTTTAAAATCCCCAGATTATTGACATATATTCCTCAGGTGACCGTTAAGGCCCCTTGGGCCTCTTGTTATGACCAGTAATTAAGACTATTGTTATTACAGACATGTGTTATCACTCATCCTACAAGAGGAGGAGGGGACCTGATGGAACAAGACTATTGGCGATGTGCCAACATTCTGTCTTCCTTACTCTCTTCCAGATATGTTCTCCCAGGAGCAGGGAAAACAGAAGAGTTGTGTAGTCAGGCTTTATCATCAAAGTCTGGTAAGTTAAAATAGATTGATAATGACCTAGAAATAAGGTTTTGATATATAATTATTTACCTCTATTTGTACTGACGTTTTAAGTGTTGTATTTAGCAAATAATATGCTTGTTTTATGCATATAGTGAAGATCAGATCATGAATTTTGGTTTTAACATGAACCAAATTTAAGTGATATAATGACAAAGTTAATGTTCTTACTCCAATGTGTACATTATAACAAACATAACATCCTCATTCTGAAATAATTTGAGTTGATAAGTGATGTAGTTGTGATATTACAGTTTAGGTTGACCCCTGGATTGAGTATATGACCCAAGCATTGTTGTTGTCATATTTTTTGACATCTTGACAAAGTGACATTACCAACAAACTCAATTTAAGCACAGAAAACTGAATTGGAACATGACATTAAGATTACCATTGTACTCTCCACCTCATATTTTGATGACACATTTGAGCATGTGGTTATCATAAATTTCTCCAATGTCGTAGTTGATCATTTGCCTATCCAGGGAAGATGGCTGCTATATATAGGTAAGAATAGGTCTGCGGTATGTAAAGTATAGGTAAGAATAGGTCTGTGGTATGTAAAGTATAGGTAAGAATAGGTCTGTGGTATGTAAAGTATAGGTAAGAATAGATCATGGTATGTAAAGTATAGGTAAGAATAGGTCATGGTATGTAAAGTATAGATAAGAATAGGTCTGTGGTATGTAAAGTATAGGTAAGAATAGGTCTGTGGTATGTAAAGTATAGGTAAGAATAGGTCTGTGGTATGTAAAGTATAGGTAAGAATAGGTCTGTGGTATGTAAAGTATAGGTAAGAATAGGTCTGTGGTATGTAAAGTATAGGTAAGAATAGGTCTGTGGTATGTAAAGTATAGGTAAGAATAGGTCTGTGGTATGTAAAGTATCGTAAGAATAGGTGGTATGTAAAATATAGGTAAGAATAGGTCTGTGGTATGTAAAGTATAGATAAGAATAGGTCATGGTATGTAAAGTATAGGTAAGAATAGGTCATGGTATGTAAAGTATAGGTAAGAATAGGTCTGTGGTATGTAAAGTATAGGTAAGAATAGGTCATGGTATGTAAAGTATAGATAAGAATAGGTCTGTGGTATGTAAAGTATAGGTAAGAATAGGTCTGTGGTATGTAAAGTATAGGTAAGAATAGGTCTGTGGTATGTAAAGTATAGGTAAGAATAGGTCATGGTATGTAAAGTATAGGTAAGAATAGGTCTGTGGTTTGTAAAGTATAGGTAAGAATAGGTCTGTGGTATGTAAAGTATAGATAAGAATAGGTCTGTGGTATGTAAAGTATAGGTAAGAATAGGTCTGTGGTATGTAAAGTATAGGTCTGTGGTTTGTAAAGTATAGGTAAGAATAGGTCTGTGGTATGTAAAGTATAGATAAGAATAGGTCTGTGGTATGTAAAGTATAGATAAGAATAGGTCTGTGGTATGTAAAGTATAGGTAAGAATAGGTCTGTGGTATGTAAAGTATAGATAAGAATAGGTCTGTGGTATGTAAAGTATAGATAAGAATAGATCTGTGGTATGTAAAGTATAGGTAAGAATAGGTCTGTGGTATGTAAAGTATAGGTAAGAATAGGTCTGTGGTATGTAAAGTATAGGTAAGAATAGGTCTGTGGTATGTAAAGTATAGGTAAGAATAGGTCTGTGGTATGTAAAGTATAGGTAAGAATAGGTCTGGTATGGTATGTAAAGGTCTGTGGTATGTAAAGTATAGGTAAGAATAGGTCTGTGGTATGTAAAGTATAGGTAAGAATAGGTATAGGTAAGAATAGGTCTGTGGTATGTAAAGTATAGGTAAGAATAGGTCTGAGGGATGTAAAGTATAGGTAAGAATAAGTCTGTGGTATGTAAAGTATAGGTAAGAATAGGTCTGTGGTTTGTAAAGTATAGGTAAGAATAGGTTATGGTATGTAAGATATAGGTAAGAATAGGTCTGTGGTATGTAGGTAAGAATAGGTCTGTGGTATGTAAAGTATGTAAGAATAATGGTATGTATAGGTAAGAATAGGTCTGTGGTATGTAAAGTATAGGTAAGAATAGTGTGGTATGTAAAGTATAGGTAAGAATAGGTATGAGGGATGTAAAGTATAGGTAATAATAAGTCTGTGGTATGTAAAGTATAGGTAAGAATAGGTCTGTGGTATGTAAAGTATAGGTAAGAATAGGTGTGGTATGGTATGTAAAGTAAAGTATAGATAAGAATAGGTCTGTGGTATGTAAAATATAGGTAAGAATAGGTCTGTGGTATGTAAAGTATAGGTAAGAATAGGTCTGTGGGATGTAAAGTATAGGTAAGAATAAGTCTGTGGTATGTAAAGTATAGGTAAGAATAGGTCTGTGGTTTGTAAAGTATAGGTAAGAATAGGTTATGGTATGTAAAGTATAGGTAAGAATAGGTCTGTGGTATGTAAAGTATAGGTAAGAATAGGTCTGTGGTATGTAAAGTATAGGTAAGAATAGGTCTGTGGTAGGTAAAGTATAGGTAAGAATAGGTCTGTGGTATGTTAAGTATAGATAAGAATAGGTCATGGTATGTAAAGTATAGGTAAGAATAGGTCTGTGGTATGTAAAATATAGGTAAGAATAGGTCTGTGGTATGTAAAGTATAGGTAAGAATAGGTCTGTGGTATGTAAAGTATAGGTAAGAATAGGTCTGTGGTATGTAAAGTATAGTATAGGTAAGAATAGGTCTGTGGTATGTAAAGTATAGGTAAGAATAGGTCTGTGGTATGTAAAGTAAGAATATAGTATAAGTAAAGTATATAAGAATAGGTCTGTGGTGGTATGTAAAGTATAGGTAAGAATAGGTCTGGTATGTAAAGTATAGGTAAGAATAGGTCTGTGGTATGTAAAGTATAGGTAAGAATAGGTCTGTGGTATGTAAAGTATAGGTAAGAATAGGTCTGTGGTATGTAAAGTATAGGTAAGAATAGGTCTGTGGTATGTAAAGTATAGGTAAGAATAGATCATGGTATGTAAAGTATAGGTAAGAATAGGTCTGGTATGTAAAGTATAGGTAAGAATAGGTCTGTGGTATGTAAAGTATAGGTAAGAATAGGTCTGTGGTATGTAAAGTATAGGTAAGAATAGGTCTGTGGTATGTAAAGTATAGGTAAGAATAGGTCTGTGGGATGTAAAGTATAGGTAAGAATAAGTCTGTGGTATGTAAAGTATAGGTAAGAATAGGTCTGTGGTATGTAAAGTATAGGTAAGAATAGGTCTGTGGTGTGTAAAGTATAGTATGGTATGTAAGAATAATGAATAGGTCTGTGGTATGTAAAGTATAGGTAAGAATAGGTCTGTGTATGTAAAGTATAGGTAAGAATAGGTCTGTGGTATGTGTAAAGTATAGGTAAGAATAGGTCTGTGGTATGTAAAGTATAGTAAAGTATAGGTAAGAATAGGTCTGGTATGTAAAGTATAGGTAAGAATAGGTCTGTGGTATGTAAAGTATAGGTAAGAATAGGTCTGGTATGTAAAGTATAGATAAGAATAGGTCATGGTATGTAAGATATAGGTAAGAATAGGTCTGTGGTATGTAAAGTATAGGTAAGAATAGGTCTGTGGTATGTAAAGTATAGATAAGAATAGGTCTGTGGTATGTAAAGTATAGATAAGAATAGGTCGGTGGTATGTAAAGTATAGGTAGGTAAGTATATAAGAATAGGTCTGTGGTATGTAAAGTATAGGTAAGAATAGGTCTGTGGTATGTAAAGTATAGGTAAGAATAGGTCTGTATGGTATGTAAAGTATGTAGGTAAGAATAGGTCTGTGGTATGTAAAGTATAGGTAAGAATAGGTCTGTGGTATGTAAAGTATAGGTAAGAATAGGTCTGTGGTATGTAAAGTATAGGTAAGAATAGGTCTGTGGTATGTAAAGTATAGATAAGAATAGGTCATGGTATGTAAAGTATAGATAAGAATAGGTCTGTGGTATGTAAAGTATAGGTAAGAATAGGTCTGTGGTATGTAAAGTATAGGTAAGAATAGGTCTGTGGTATGTAAAGTATAGTATAGGTCTGTGGTATGTAAAGTAATAGGTCTGTGGTATGTAAAGTATAGGTAAGAATAGGTCTGTGGTATGTAAAGTATAGGTAAGAATAGGTCTGTGGTATGTAAAGTATAGGTAAGAATAGGTCTGTGGTATGTAAAGTATAGATAAGAATAGGTCTGTGGTATGTAAAGTATAGGTAAGAATAGATCTGTGGTATGTAAAGTATAGGTAAGAATAGGGTCTGTGGTATGTGTGATAAGTCCCTTTCAACAAATACAAATAGTGTTTTAAATAGGAATGACTTCTCTTCTGTTGGTGGACTGGACATCTATGACAAAAAGGAAAGCACTGCTGTGATATTTGATGACTATAAATCAAAGATGGAGAGTATGCAGACGGCCTGTGACTTTGTGGCTACTGTTCTCTTATGTGATTCCTTCATTGTGACAGGAGTTGACCAGACTCAAGGTTTACATATAGACACTACAAATCTTGTCACTGGACAATTTGTTGATGTGATACTATAATGAATGAAATATTTTCCTATGCTTGTTAAATGATAGTTGAGTTAATTGATAACCAAGAAATTCACATATCAATCCACCAGAGACCAGGCCCAAGTTGTTTATATCAATCCACCAGATACCAGGCACAAGTTGTTCATATCAATTCACCAGAGACCAGGCCCCAGTTGTTCATATCAATCCACCACAGACCAGGCCCCAGTTGTTCATATCAATCCACTGGAGACCAGGCCCCAGTTGTTCATATCAATTCACCAGAGACCAGGCCCCAGTTGTTCATATCAATCCACCACAGACCAGGCCCCAGTTGTTCATATCAATCCACTGGAGACCAGGCCCCAGTTGTTCATATCAATTCACCAGAGACCAGGCCCCAGTTGTTCATATTAATCCACCGGAGACCAGACCCCAGTTGTTCATATCAATCCGCCAGAGACCAGGCCCAAGTTGGTCATATCAATCCGCCAGAGACCAGGCCCCAGTTGTTCATATCAATCCACCAGAGACCAGGCACAAGTTGTTCATATCAATCCACCAGAGACCAGGCCCCAGTTGTTCTTATCAATCCACCAGAGACCAGGCCCAAGTTGTTCATATCAATCCGCCAGAGACCAGGCCCCAGTTGTTCATATCAATCCACCAGAGACCAGGCCCAAGTTGGTCATATCAATCCGCCAGAGACCAGACCCAAGTTGTTCATATCAATCCACCAGAGACCAGGCACAAGTTGTTTATATCAATCCACCAGAGCCCAGGCCCAAGTTGTTCATATCAATCCACCAGATACCAGGCACAAGTTGTTCATATCAATCCACCAGATACCAGGCCCAAGTTGTTCATATCAATCCGCCAGAGACCAGGCCCCAGTTGTTCATATCAATCCACCAGAGACCAGGCCCAAGTTGTTCATATCAATCCACCAGAGACCAGGCCCAAGTTGTTCATATCAATCCACCAGATACCAGGCACAAGTTGTTCATATCAATCCACCAGAGACCAGGCAAAAGTTGTTTATATCAATCCACCAGAGACCAGGCACAAGTTGTTTATATCAATCCACCAGAGACCAGGCACAAGTTGTTCATATCAATCCACCAGATACCAGGCACAAGTTGTTCATATCAATCCACCAGATACCAGGCCCAAGTTGTTCATATCAATCCGCCAGAGACCAGGCCCCAGTTGTTCATATCAATCCACCAGAGACCAGGCCCAAGTTGTTCATATCAATCCACCAGAGACCAGGCCCCAGTTGTTCTTATCAATCCACCAGAGACCAGGCACAAGTTGTTTATATCAATCCACCAGAGCCCAGGCCCAAGTTGTTCTTATCAATCCACCAGAGACCAGACCCAAGTTGTTCTTATCAATCCACCAGAGACCAGGCCCCAGTTGTTCTTTTCAATCCATCAGAGACCAGGCCCCAGTTGTTCTTTTCAATCCATCAGAGACCAGGCCCCAGTTGTTCTTTTCAATCCATCAGAGACCAGGCCCCAGTTGTTCTTTTCAATCCATCAGAGACCAGGCCCCAGTTGTTTATATCAATCCACCAGAGCCCAGGCCCAAGTTGTTCTTATCAATCCACCAGATACCAGACACAAGTTGGTTATATCAATCCATCAGAGACCAGGCCCCAGTTGTTCTTTTCAATCCACCAGAGACCAGGCCCAAGTTGGTTATATCAATCCATCAGAGACCAGGCCCCAGTTGTTCATATCAAGTCACCGCAGACCAGGCCCCAGTTGTTCATATCAATTCAACGCAGACCAGCCCCCAGTTGTTCATGTCAATCCACCAGAAACCAGGCCCCAGTTGTTGAAAGCTTGGCTGGAGGTAATCTGTGGTTAGTGATTAATTTCAAATATGAATCAAACAACAATTTTTTTTTACCTTAACACTGATTCATGCCAACCTGCCTTTGAGCCTCATGGACCAGAAGGCATGTCAGTCTGATTTAGATCACATCATAACACTAATTTATCATCTCTGACAAAGGTATAGTATTGATGTGGTCATTCAGATATATCCCAATGATTTGTTTCAGGCAGTTGAAAGTACTTGTCACGCATTAGTGAGAAATTTAATGAGGTGGTCAGTCACATGATACATGAGGTTAAAGTGTTACTTTTCCTGACCATGTCTAATGAGTAAACAGTGGTGTAGAAGTCCAGCACTCTAATATGATCCTGTTTTTAGGTCGCCTGAGCCGAAGGCTCATGGTGACCTATTGCCATCATGATTTGTCTGTCCTCGTGCGTCGTTAACTTTTCACATATTCAACTTCTTCTCAAGAACCACTGAATGGATTTTGACCAAACTTGGCACAAAGCATCCCCATGAGAAGCCGCTTCAAGTTTGCAAAGAAAAAGGGCAAGGCCCCAATACAGGAGGGGGAAAAAGGGGGTAAAATTAGGTAAAACTTTAAAAATCTTCTTCTCATGAACCAACAGTCAGATTAAATTCATATTTGATATTTAGGGTCCTTATAGCAAGGTCTACAAAGCTTGCAAAGGAAAAAAAATCGGGTCAAAAACGGCCCCACTTAGGGGCACTCAAAAGGGTCAAAAATTCAACTTTGACCGATTTCAACCAAATTTGGTAGAAAGCATCCCTTAGTGAAGGACATATGAAATTATGTTGAAAAAAGTGATTATGTCCCCTTTGGGGCCCATAAGGGGTGTAAAAGGGGCCATATGTAAAAACCTTCTTTAAATGACTTCTTCTCAAGAACCATTGGATGGATTTTGACCAAACTTGGCACAAAGCATCCCAATGTGAAGCCGCTTCAAGTTTGCGAAGAAAATGGGTGTGGCCCCAGGAGGGGGGAAAAGAGGAAACTTGATACGAATGTTCTACACAAGGTCCTGGCAAGTGTTTTAACTTTTTGGGGTGATTCAAAATCCAAGATGGCCTCCCTGGCCTCTGTTTGGCTAAGACATTATGGACTTCCTCTCAAGAACCATTGGGTGGGTCATGTTCAAACTTGGTACAGATGTTTTACACATGGTCCTGCACAAGTGTTGTTACATTTTTGCAACATTTTAAAATCCTCAGATTATTGACATATATTCCTCAGGTGACTGTTAAGGCCCCTTGGGCCTCATGTTTCATGATACCGTTGATTGAAAGCAAAATATTCTATTTTAACTAAACATTAAACATTGTTATACAAAGTCTTGAGCAGTGATTCTGTAATGAAGATCTGAGGAGTGTGGTATGATTATTCCTTCTTTGGCTGTGATTGTCTGGTGATGATCTGAGGGGTGTGGTATGATTATTCCTTCTTTGGCTGTGATTGTCTGGTGATGATCTGAGGGGTGTGGTTTGCTTATTCCTACTTTGGCTGTGATTGTCTGGTGATGATCTGAGGGGTGTGGTTTGCTTATTCCTACTTTGGCTGTGATTGTCTGGTGATGATCTGAGGGGTGTGGTTTGATTATTCCTACTTTGGCTGTGATTGTCTGGTGATGATCTGAGGGGTGTGGTTTGCTTATTCCTACTTTGGCTGTGATTGTCTGGTGATGATCTGAGGGGTGTGGTTTGCTTATTCCTACTTTGGCTGTGATTGTCTGGTGATGATCTGAGGGGTGTGGTTTGCTTATTCCTACTTTGGCTGTGATTGTCTGGTGATGATCTGAGGGGTGTGGTTTGCTTATTCCTACTTTGGCTGTGATTGTCTGGTGATGATCTGAGGGGTGTGGTTTGCTTATTCCTACTTTGGCAGTGATTGTCTGGTGATGATCTGAGGGGTGTGGTTTGCTTATTCCTACTTTGGCTGTGATTGTCTGGTGATGATCTGAGGGGTGTGGTTTGCTTATTCCTACTTTGGCTGTGATTGTCTGGTGATGATCTGAGGGGTGTGGTTTGCTTATTCCTACTTTGGCTGTGATTGTCTGGTGATGATCTGAGGGGTGTGGTTTGCTTATTCCTACTTTGGCTGTGATTGTCTGGTGATGATCTGAGGGGTGTGGTATGATTATTCCTACTTTGGCTGTGATTGTCTGGTGATGATCTGAGGGGTGTGGTTTGCTTATTCCTACTTTGGCTGTGATTGTCTGGTGAAGATCTGAGGGGTGTGGTTTGCTTATTCCTACTTTGGCTGTGATTGTCTGGTGATGATCTGAGGGGTGTGGTTTGCTTATTCCTACTTTGGCTGTGATTGTCTCTGAGGGGTGTGATGACTTTGGCTGTGATTGGGGTGTGGTTTGATTATTCCTACTTTGGCTGTGATTGTCTGGTGATGATCTGAGGGTGTGGTTTGCTTATTCCTACTTTGGCTGTGATTGTCTTTGCTGAGGGGTGTGGTTTCCTACTTTGGCTGTGATTGTCTGGTGATGATCTGAGGGTGTGTGGTTTGGCTGTGATTGTCTGGTGACGATCTGAGGGGTGTGGTTTGCTTATTCCTACTTTGGCTGTGATTGTCTGGTGATGATCTGAGGGGTGTGGTTTGCTTATTCCTACTTTGGCTGTGATTGTCTGGTGATGATCTGAGGGGTGTGGTTTGATTATTCCTACTTTGGCTGTGATTGTCTGGTGATGATCTGAGGGGTGTGGTTTGCTTATTCCTACTTTGGCTGTGATTGTCTGGTGATGATCTGAGGGGTGTGGTTTGCTTATTCCTACTTTGGCTGTGATTGTCTGGTGATGATCTGAGGGGTGTGGTTTGCTTATTCCTACTTTGGCTGTGATTCTCTGGTGATGATCTGAGGGGTGTGGTTTGCTTATTCCTACTTTGGCTGTGATTGTCTGGTGATGATCTGAGGGGTGTGGTTTGCTTATTCCTACTTTGGCTGTGATTGTCTGGTGATGATCTGAGGGGTGTGGTTTGCTTATTCCTACTTTGGCTGTGATTGTCTGGTGATGATCTGAGGGGTGTGGTTTGCTTATTCCTACTTTGGCTGTGATTGTCTGGTGATGATCTGAGGGGTGTGGTTTGCTTATTCCTACTTTGGCTGTGATTGTCTGGTGATGATCTGAGGGGTGTGGTTTGCTTATTCCTACTTTGGCAGTGATTTTCAAGAGGCTGAATTTACAGTCATTTGTTTGATAATGCACATCTTTTCCTGACCCAATTTCTTTGAATATCAGGTGGTGTGCCTCCACATGTTGTCAAATGAGGTAGCCACCAGCCATTACAAGGAAACCCCACCTCAATAGGATGATAATGATAAAGCCAGGAAATAAAGCATTTGGAGTATTATAAATTTAATTGCTTTTTAACAAAGAAGGACATAAATAATAAATATTGTACACACGTAATAAATCACATTGACAACTCTGGATTCTTTTTTTAATTGAAACAAACATTACAATTGATACCTTTCCTTAAAATCAAAACAAGCACTATAGCTATAGATAAGAAAAAAATTAGAAATCATATAATAAGCTTGAGATTCGTTGTTTTGAAATTAAAAACATTGAAATTGTAGTTATTAGATAAATTGCATAAGAAGAACTTGAGTTTCAAATTCAACAATAAAATGCCAAAAAATGGAAACATTATACAAAACAGTAACATATTCACAAAATTATGTAGAAATTTAATTGTGGCAACAGATTGTGGTAAGTGTATAACACAGATTTAAAGAAGAAAGGTTATAATTCACATACTTCAACACATCGCCATAAAACTAGAAAAAAAATGTGTACGTACAAAAAATGTATACATACCATTATGGTACCGTCTTGGACACTAAATACATCAGTACTATTTACCCTTCTTACTGGTTATTTGTCCGATAAGGATGACTGTATAGTTATTAAAATGTCACACCCTTATCTTCTACTGGTTGTGTTAAAAGATGAAGGTGACCTTGTAGTCATCGGAACGCCACACTCCAATCTTCAACTGGTTGTGTTATAAGAACTATAAGGTAACCATGTAGTCATCGGAATGTCACACTCCAATCTTCTACTGGTTGTGTTATAAGATGAAGGTGACCGTGCAGTCATCGAAACGTCACACTCCAATCTTCTACTGGTTGTGTTATAAAAGCTACTATTCTATTGAAATTATCAACCTGAAGAAAATGTACCAAAAATGTGTTATATGACAAGAACACCATTCTTTGATACAATGGTGTAGTATACTTATGCTTTATTTTGTCGTTCATTTCATGAGTGTGAAATTCATGCAACAGTTGAGTCAGCCTTGTCACAAAGATAGTCTTATGAACAGATTGTGTTATATAGTTTCATTATACATATTGCATTTTGTAGGGTGTAAAGTTTAAACTTAGTGAATTACAATACCTACTGTGTTAAGAAATTTATACTAAGTCATGTTTTGTAGGGTACACATAGATGTAGTGAGGCAATAATACAATACATTAGACTCTTTGAAGACCTGTCTGAGTTTGAATCTCTACTGTAGACAATGTTTGTATATCTATGTATCTGTCGAAAACATTTGTCACTAACCTTAAAGTGAAAGTTAATGAGAGGTATTTCTGTGTATCCATCCAATGGTATCAACTATAGCATGTGATCCTAAATGTCCAGTATAACAAACATTGTAACAAAAACACACATCTACATAAAATATACCATTAAAAGAGATTTAAATAACTGGATTTATCCAGCAGTATGCCCAGTTTGGCCAACACTTGGTGGAGGAGGGGTGGGGGAGGAGGAGGACAAGGAGGAGGATGTAGGGGAGGAGGAAGAGGAGGAAGGAAAGAGGATGGGGGAGGAGAGGATGAGGAGGAGGAAGAGGAGGAAAAGGAGGAGGTGGGGCTTATTAAATGACAATGACCTAACATTTTGTAATTCCATGGAGCATTTATGAATATTGGCAGACTTATGATTAGGGTGATTAGGGCAGACTTATGATTAGGGTGATTAGGGTAGACTTATGATTAGGGTGATTAGGGTAGACTTATGATTAGGGTGATTAGGGTAGACTTATGATTAGGGTGATTAGGGCAGACTTATGATTAGGGTGATTAGGGCAGACTTATGATTAGGGTGATTAGGGTAGACTTATGATTAGGGTGATTAGGGTAGACTTATGATTAGGGTGATTAGGGTAGACTTATGATTAGGGTGGGCTTACTGCAGGATTTATACACTTTATACAGATTGTCACTATATTCCTGCTTGTGTTTCTTATAAAACTGAAACATCATTAAGATTATTTACGGCAGATATAACATTTTCTTTAGAAATAACAATAGTATAGTTACAATATAATACATCTATATATACTAATGTTATAGATAACAAATATTGTTTTATGTACAGAGCATCGTAGTAAAAAGGCAAAAAAACATCTTCATTACTTGATTAGTCAACTAATCCAAATCTCAATTATCTGTTTATTAAAAATAATGGCACTTCTAAACACATGATTTAAAAATGTAAAACTACAACTCCAAACATATTTATGGAATGTGGTAAAGAGTCCTGCAAGGTGGTATATATTACAAAAATATATAAACAAAGTCACCTTATTAGCAACAAGAGGCGTGAAAAAATCAGTAACCATATACTCATCTCTTGATGACATATTTGGGTTATGTTGTAAAAAATATTTTTTCATTGAACATTTTTGTGGTTTTTCAAAATAGACACAATGCCATCAGCACTTGATTTCTTAAATAACATGAGGCCCAGAGGGCCTGTATCGCTCACCTGGATCTTTATGACCAACATTACTATATCTGTTCATATGTTCCACGTTTAACACATTTGACCCCTGTGACCTTGACTATGGGTCAAGGTCATTTCTTTTACATTCTTGGACTTCATAAAAGGAACATACTGGCCAAATATAATGATTCTAGGCTTTTCGATATTTCAGAAGAAATTGTTTAAACGTTTTAACACATTTGACTTCAGTGACCTTGAATATGGGTCAAGGTCATTTCTTTTAGCAAACTTTGTAGGACACCATAAGAGGAACATAGTAGCCAAATATAATGATTCTAGGTTTTCCGGTATTTTGAGAGAAGTCGCTTAAAGTTTTTAACACATTTGACCTAAGTGACCTTGAATATGGGTCAAGGTCATGGTTATTTTTATTTGTGGACATATGGATTAACACTGTGTCACACTTCTAGTGGTTATTTTTATTTGTGGACACATGGATTAACAGTGTCACACTTCTAGTGGTTATTTTTATTTGTGGACACATGGATTAACACTGTCTATATATTACAAAAAAAAAAAAAAATTCTGAAGCTGATCACTAAAAGTAGTTTCATCAGCAATGTAACTTCTCTTATAAAGTGTGCGAGTTCTCTCTTGGAAGGGGAGTGTGTAATTCGGATTAATAAAAAACTGGTCACAGTATGTGGTACCTAAGACTTAACTCAGACTAATGTCCAAAATTTCTTCTTCTAACCCTAACCCAAGCAGGTCCCCTACTTATATTGGCCTAAACAAAGGTAAGGTCCCTGTCTTCTTAGGCTCCAAATAGAGTTTTCCTGATGGCTTTGATGAGTGGATGTTTTGTTTTTCCATCACAAACACCTTCTGTATCATCACTTTTCATATTCCAAACCATTACACCTCCAAAACCATGATCTTTGACCCACTGAGCCTGAAACAATTAACACAACATTTCAACTTTTAATGGACAGACTATGCTTCAGGATAAAACATTCTCCCTACTTCTGACAGACATCTGTCAGACCAGGAGACCAACATACCCCTACTTCTGACAGACATCTCTTAAGAACCAGGAGACCAACATACCCCTACTTCTGACAGACATCTGTCAGACCAGGAGACCAACATACCCCTACTTCTGACAGACATCTCTAAGACCAGGAGACCAACATACCCCTACTTCTGACAGACATCTCTAAGACCAGGAGACCAACATACCCCTACCACTGACAGACATCTCTAAGACCAGGAGACCAACATACCCCTACTTCTGACAGACATCTCTAAGACCAGGAGACCAACATACCCCTACCTCTGACAGACATCTCTTAAGACCACGGGACCAACATACCCCTACTTCTGACAGACATCTGTCAGACCAGGGGACCAACATACCCCTACTTCTGACAGACATCTCTAAGACCAGGAGACCAACATACCCCTACTTCTGACAGACATCTCTAAGACCAGGATACCAACATACCCCTACTTCTGACAGACATCTCTAAGACCAGGAGACCAACATACCCCTACTTCTGACAGACATCTCTTAAGACCAGGAGACCAACATACCCCTATTCTGACAGATATCTCTTAAGAACCAGGAGACCAACATACCCCTACTTCTGACAGACATCTCTAAGACCAACATCTCCCTACTTCTGACAGACATCTCTAAAACCAACATACCCCTACTTCTGACAGACATCTCTTAAGACCACGGGACCAACATACCCCTACTTCTGACAGACATCTCTAAGACCAGGAGACCAACATACCCCTACCTCTGACAGACATCTCTTAAGACCACAGGACCAACATACCCCTACTTCTGACAGACATCTGTCAGACCAGGGGACCAACATACCCCTACTTCTGACAGACATCTCTAAGACCAGGAGACCAACATACCCCTACTTCTGACAGACATCTCTAAGACCAGGAGACCAACATACCCCTACTTCTGACAGACATCTCTAAGACCAGGAGACCAACATACCCCTACTTCTGACAGACATATCTAAGACCACGAGACCAACATACCCCTACTTCTGACAGACATCTCTTAAGACCAGGAGACCAACATACCCCTACTTCTGACAGACATCTCTTAAGACCAGGAGACCAACATACCCCTACTTCTGACAGACATCTCTTAAGACCAGGAGACCAACATACCCCTACTTCTGACAGACATCTCTTAAGACCAGGAGACCAACATACTCCTACTTCTGACAGACATCTCTTAAGACCACGAGACCAACATACCCCTACTTCTGACAGACATCTCTTAAGAACCAGGAGACCAACATACCCCTACTTCTGACAGACATCTCTAAAATCAGTGAACCAACATACCCCTACTTCTGACAGACATCTCTAAGACCAACATCTCCCTACTTCTGACAGACATCTCTAAAACCAACATACCCCTACTTCTGACAGACATCTCTTAAGACCACGGGACCAACATACCCCTACTTCTGACAGACATCTGTCAGACCAGAGGACCAACATACCCCTACTTCTGACAGACATCTGTAAGACCAGGAGACCAACATACCCCTACTTCTGACAGACATCTGTCAGACCAGGGGACCAACATACCCCTACTTCTGACAGACATCTCTAAGACCAGGAGACCAACATACCCCTACTTCTGACAGACATCTCTAAGACCAGGAGACCAACATACCCCTACTTCTGACAGACATCTCTAAGACCAGGAGACCAACATACCCCTACTTCTGACAGACATCTCTAAGACCAGGAGACCAACATACCCCTACTTCTGACAGACATCTCTTAAGACCAGGAGACCAACATACCCCTACTTCTGACAGACATCTCTAAGACCAGGAGACCAACATACCCCTACTTCTGACAGACATCTCTTAAGACCAGGAGACCAACATACCCCTACTTCTGACAGACATCTCTTAAGACCAGGAGACCAACATACCCCTACTTCTGACAGACATCTCTTAAGACCAGGAGACCAACATACCCCTACTTCTGACAGACATCTCTTAAGACCAGGAGACCAACATACCCCTACTTCTGACAGACATCTCTAAAATCAGTGAGACCAACATACCCCTACTTCTGACAGACATCTCTAAGATCCACAGGAGACCAACATACCCCTACTTCTGACAGACATCTCTTAAGACCAGGAGACCAACATACCCCTACTTCTGACAGACATCTCTTAAGACCAGGAGACCAACATACCCCTACTTCTGACAGACATCTCTTAAGACCAGGAGACCAACATACCCCTACTTCTGACAGACATCTCTAAGACCAGACATACCCCTACTTCTGACAGACATCTCACCAGGAGACCAACATACCCCTACTTCTGACAGACATCTCTGACAGACCAACATACCCCTACTTCTGACAGACATCTCTAAGACCAGGAGACCAACATACCCCTACTTCTGACAGACATCTCTAAGACCAGGAGACCAACATACCCCTACTTCTGACAGACATCTCTAAGACCAGGAGACCAACATACCCCTACTTCTGACAGACATCTCTAAGACCAGGAGACCAACATACCCCTACTTCTGACAGACATCTCTAAGACCAGGAGACCAACATACCCCTACTTCTGACAGACATCTCTAAGACCAGGAGACCAGACCAACATACCCCTACTTCTGACAGACATCTCTTAAGACCAGGAGACCAACATACCCCTACTTCTGACAGACATCTCTTAAGACCAGGAGACCAACATACCCCTACTTCTGACAGACATCTCTTAAGTCAGGAGACCAACATACCCCTACTTCTGTCAGACCAGGAGACCAACATACCCCTACTTCTGACAGACATCTCTAAGACCAGGAGACCAACATACCCCTACTTCTGACAGACATCTCTAAGACCAGGAGACCAACATACCCCTACTTCTGACAGACATCTCTTAAGACCAGGAGACCAACATACCCCTACTTCTGACAGACATCTCTTAAGACCAGGAGACCAACATACCCCTACTTCTGACAGACATCTCTAAGACCAGGAGACCAACATACCCCTACTTCTGACAGACATCTCTAAGACCAACATCTCCCTACTTCTGACAGACATCTCTAAAACCAACATACCCCTACTTCTGACAGACATCTCTAAGACCAGGAGACCAACATACCCCTACTTCTGACAGACATCTCTAAGACCAGGAGACCAACATACTCCTACTTCTGACAGACATCTCTTAAGACAAGGAGACCAACATACCCCTACTTCTGACAGACATCTCTTAAGACCAGGAGACCAACATACCCCTACTTCTGACAGACATCTCTTAAGACCAGGAGACCAACATACCCCTACTTCTGACAGACATCTCTTAAGACCAGGAGACCAACATACCCCTACTTCTGACAGACATCTCTTAAGACCAGGAGACCAACATACCCCTACTTCTGACAGACATCTCTTAAGACCAGGAGACCAACATACCCCTATTCTGACAGACATCTCTTAAGAACCAGGAGACCAACATACCCCTACTTCTGACAGATATCTCTAAAATCAGTGAACCAACATACCCCTACTTCTGACAGACATCTCTAAGACCAACATCTCCCTACTTCTGACAGACATCTCTAAAACCAACATACCCCTACTTCTGACAGACATCTCTTAAGACCAGGAGACCAACATACCCCTACTTCTGACAGACATCTCTAAGACCAGGAGACCAACATACCCCTACTTCTGACAGACATCTCTTAAGAAGGAGACCAACATACCCCTACTTCTGACAGACATTCCTAAGTCCCACTTGTGTTTAGATGTGTGATCCTTTTATCTTACCAACATACCCCTACTTCTGACAGACATCTCTTAAGACCAGGTGACCAACATACCCCTACTTCTGACAGACATCTCTCAGACCAGACCAACATACCCCTACTTCTGACAGACATCTCTAAGACCAGGAGACCAACATACCCCTACTTCTGACAGACATCTCTTAAGACCAGGAGACCAACATACCCCTACTTCTGACAGACATCTCTAAGACCAGGAGACCAACATACCCCTACTTCTGACAGACATCTCTTAAGACCAGGAGACCAACATACCCCTACTTCTGACAGACATCTCTAAGACCAGGAGACCAACATACCCCTACTTCTGACAGACATCTCTTAAGACCAGGAGACCAACATACCCCTACTTCTGACAGACATCTCTAAGACCAGGAGACCAACATACCCCTACTTCTGACAGACATCTCTTAAGACCAGGAGACCAACATACCCCTACTTCTGACAGACATCTCTTAAGACCAGGAGACCAACATACCCCTAATTCTGACAGACATCTCTTAAGACCATGAGACCAACATACCCCTACTTCTGACAGCCATCTGTTAAGACCAGGAGACCAACATACCCCTACTTCTGACAGACATCTCTAAGACCAGGAGACCAACATACCCCTACTTCTGACAGACATCTCTAAGACCAGGAGACCAACATACCCCTACTTCTGACAGACATCTCTCAGACCAGGAGACCAACATACCCCTACTTCTGACAGACATCTCTTAAGACCAGGAGACCAACATACCCCTACTTCTGACAGACATCTCTTAAGACCAGTGAACCAACATACCCCTACTTCTGACAGACATCTCTAAGACCAACATCTCCCTACTTCTGACAGACATCTCTAAAACCAACATACCCCTACTTCTGACAGACATCTCTTAAGACCACGGGACCAACATACCCCTACTTCTGACAGACATCTGTCAGACCAGGGGACCAACATACCCCTACTTCTGACAGACATCTCTAAGACCAGGAGACCAACATACCCCTACTTCTGACAGACATCTCTTAAGACCAGGAGACCAACATACCCCTACTTCTGACAGACATCTCTAAGACCAGAAGACCAACATATCCCTACTTCTGACAGACATCTCTAAGACCAGGAGACCAACATACTCCTACTTCTGACAGACATCTCTCAGACCAGGAGACCAACATACCCCTACTTCTGACAGACATCTGTCAGACCAGGAGACCAACATATCCCTACTTCTGACAGACATCTCTAAGACCAGGGGACCAACATCTCCCTACTTCTGACAGACATCTCTAAGACCAGGAGACCAACATACCCCTACTTCTGACAGACATCTCTTAAGACCACGGGACCAAGATACCCCTACTTCTGACAGACATCTGTCAGACCAGGGGACCAACATACCCCTACTTCTGACAGACATCTCTAATACCAGGAGACCAACATACCCCTACTTCTGACAGACATATCTAAGACCACGAGACCAACATACCCCTATTCTGACAGACATCTCTTAAGAACCAGGAGACCAACATACCCCTACTTCTGACAGACATCTCTAAAACCAGTGAACCAACATACCCCTACTTCTGACAGACATCTCTAAGACCAACATCTCCCTACTTCTGACAGACATCTCTAAAACCAACATACCCCTACTTCTGACAGACATCTCTTAAGACCACGGGACCAACATACCCCTACTTCTGACAGACATCTCTAAGACCAGGGAACCAACATCTCCCTACTTCTGACAGACATCTCTACAACCAGGAGACTAACATCTCCCTACTTCTGACAGACATCTCTAAGACCAAGGAACCAACATCTCCCTATTTCTGACAGACATCTCTAAGAACATGTAACCAACATGTCTTGTGATAGACATTCTTTTTACTTTAACCTGGTACTCAGATTAGAAAATTTTGAAACTACAGCATTTGTATAATGTAAAAATGATGCCACATAAATAATACACTAATGTAATATAACCTAAGGGTACATTAAGGAATAAAAAGATTTCAACCCAAAGGAAGGTTATTCAGTTGCCATATTACCTTGGTAATTACCAGATAGCCGTGGAATTTCTAAAATTCTGTCATATTACCTTGGTATATCCATGGCTACCCCTAAACTTACCTTCTCAGAAAGACTTCCTTCATCATCGTAGCTAACCCATTGGTCACCTCGGTAGACATAAGGGACCCTGGCACCCTCATCAAACACACGTGTGCCATTCTGTTTTATCATTGCACAAGCCCAGGTATAGCCACAGAAGTCACACTGTCCTTTCGACCGAGCAGGTGAACCCGGAGCAGTAAAGTGTTCAAATAACAGGGTGTAGGTATGGACGTAGGTGGGCATTCCAATCATCATCTTCTGCGGTGGAATTCCCCTACGAACCCACTCCTGTGATGCCCAGGCCTGAAACGTAACTTCTATGTTAGTTATCTTGCTTTCAGTCTTGCTGAATAACAAAGGGCAGATTTAAGTCGGATGTCTTGAAGATTGCCAGTGGCACAAGGACTTTGTTCTGTGTAATCCCTAACAACTACACAACATGCCAATCGACAAGAGGGCACTCTGGTTTGGGTAGACATGCAAAACAAGATGTTAGCTTAGGAATTAAAGTGATGAGGAGATTACCTGTTACAATTACACTAAAGGTAATTATCAATCAGATTTTGATAATCTGTAACTTTCATTTGTTTTAATATAGTCACGGTTAAAAAGATATCAGTGTTGGGGCTTATTAATATCTCCTCAATCTTGAAACTTTAAATGACATAAAAAAATAAACTGAAATATTGTTGGAGGTATCCATATTTATGGAACATATTATTTGCAAGCACAGACCAAGCAAATGACATTAAAAACATGCCAGAATCAAATTCACTCTTATATTGTAGTCAAAGTTAATAATAACAATGAATTCACCCTTGTGCTGTAGTTATCGTCATAACATCAGATTCAACCTTGTGTTGTAGTTATCATCAAAATTCAGACAGTCATGGTATTTCATTTTTTGTATATTTCCATCAACACATACCAAGAAAAGCCAATTCAATTAGCAAAATTAAAGAATAAACAGAACCTTCATTCTGTATTTCGACAATCATATAGAAGAGGATACATATAAATAACAACTGGCAATGTCTAAGAAAGTATTTACAACAATTTACTGACGCTTAGAAATCACAAGCCTAATCCAAATTACCAAATTATTGGTTATGAACATCTCCTTGTCATATCTCTCTGGTTTCAGTGGACAGTTGAAGTACACAAATGGGTGCAAATCGTTGAAGGAGTTGAAATCATATCCCATCAAGTTAACGTAGTCCAAAGTCCTAGAAACAGAAAACAGTAATATTTATTGAGGAGATATAGGAAAACACTAGGCAAGTCTGAAATAGAAAAATGGTCTGTACTCTCAGCTTGAACTTACTTTGCAAGGATGTGGAATTCATAAATGACCAGCATTACATTAGCTGTAGACGTGGCTGCACTCAGAAGTAGGCGGGGTTTGGATGTTTGTCTTGATTCTGTCTCAAACAGTTCTTGTAGACCCTAAAAATTTCCAAAAAACAAACCTTAATACAACAGTCCTGGATGTTCCCTTAATACATAAGTCCTGGTTGTTCCCTTAATACAACAGTCCTGGATGTTCCCTTAATACACAAGTCCTGGATGTTTCCTTAATACACAAGTCCTGGTTGTTCCCTTAATACAACAGTCCTGGATGTTCCCTTAATACATAAGTCCTGGTTGTTCCCTTAATACAACAGTCCTGGATGTTCCCTTAATACAACAGTCCTGGATGTTCCCTTAATACAAAAGTCCTGGATGTTCCCTTAATACAACAGTCCTGGATGTTCCCTTAATACAACAGTCCTGGATGTTCCCTTAATACAACAGTCCTGGATGTTCCCTTAATACAAAAGTTCTGGATGTTCCCTTAAAATAATGAATGATGATACCAATGGGAATCATCAACTATTGACCCCCCCCTCCCAAAAAATAAACATTTTAGTTTAGACATCAGATCTCTGATTGGTCAGTGGTTTTGACAAAACATTTATAATTGATTACCGAAGATGTAATAATTACATTTTTTTTCATGTTCAAAAAGTTGCAGATGTATTGCTATTTATACATTCTGTAACAAAATGGATAGTAAAAGTACATTTTGGGTCAGAAATTAAAGTTCAAAAGGTGTCTCAGGGATCAATAACAACAGGTGTCATAGGTCAGGCACTGGACCAGGCTTAACGACCTGTGAGTGACAGGTAGTGATGCACGCCTGATAACGGGAGGGGTGTGCACCTCAGTGTTGAAACACTGTGGCAGAATATCGCTGGTATGAGTGATCAGAACAGGTAGATGCTCTCTCCTGTCTGCCTCGCACTGGCGAACGTACTTGTAAGTAAACAAGATTAGAAACAATGTATAAGGTAGATCAAAGATAGGAAGTTGATACCGGGTACTCCTAGTCGCATGTGCCTTCATAATTAGATGCTCCATGGGTTAGGTTATTGTTGTCCAATAGGGACTAGGCTGAAATTAAGTATTTGGTATTATTTATACTAAGACAATAGCCAAAAGAAGTTAGTCTGGGATTGAGTAGCTAGAGAGAGTTGGTGATTGGGAGTCTCGGACATGGAGATGGGCAGAGTCCCGTATATTACCTGCTCCGCGATGGAGCGGGCCCTGGCCAAGTTGGCCCAAGGACATTTGTATGGAACTCTTTGATATGGACGGGTAACCTATAGAACCTGTGGATGCTTCTGTATGTTGATTAGGAATTACCTTTTGTAATGGATATTAACGCGAAGTACTAACTATGGAAAACCACTATACGATGAAATAAACATTTTGGCCAACCCAAGTAAACATCGCATTTAGTCATTGTATTACACAGGTGTTTATTTATGATTCTGACCCTTAAATCTCACCACAGTAAGCATAGAGAAATTATGTCGTTGTCCAACAGGGCGACCATTCCAGCCAGGGAACTCCCAGTCCAAGTCAAACCCATCAAAGTCATACTTCCTCAAAAGTGGCACAGTACTGTTGATAAATCTGGACATGTTGTATGGAGAAGCGAGGACTGGATCAAACGCTCCTCCATTAGACAGCATCACCGTCAAGGCTGGGTTCTGTCGCCTTATCGCAGGGATGACCTTGGAAAAGAAGTCAAGGTGAAAAGGATATGCAACAGCCACCTCACAACTGGCACTGATGATACTTGGAATGAATATGATATGCGTACACAGCATGGGATCCAGATTGTCAGGGACTGTGGTATTCGGGGGAGAATCGGGAAGTGGGTAGTAACACATTAACTTATTGGTCTTGTTCTGGCTCGGTGTCATCCTCCTCCATGATCTCAGGATGGACTCTGCATTGACTCGTTCTGAGAAAAGGAAAAATCAATACATGTATTTCCAAACCTCTTGAACAGCAAAAACCAACACATTAAGTTAAACTTAAGTATATATAAACTCTGTAGAAAGATTGTATTTGTCTTTCTGTGTCTTCATTTTCAACTTATTTTGAATCTAGCAACATCAATTTTTACCTGTAAATTTGTGCAGAGTTTTTTAGATTGTATAGTGTGTTCAGGTCTCCTATTTTAAGTTAATTATCTCTGTATCATACATCTTTAATGATTAAAATTATTATTATAACAATGATTTCAACACTAAATAGAAAGTGTGCAATCTCTGCATCAAAAGGATTGTAATCCTCAGGCTGACAATAATTATATCTCTACATGGAGAGGATTGTAATCCTAAGGCTGACAATAATTATATCTCTACATGGAGAAGATTGTAATCCTCAGGCTGACAATAATTATATCTCTACATGGAGAAGATTGTAATCCTCAGACTGTCAATAATTATATCTCTACATGGAGAGGATTGTAATCCTAAGGCTGACAATAATTATATCTCTACATGGAGAGGATTGTAATCCTCAGACTGTCAATAATTATATCTCTACATGGAGAAGATTGTAATTCTAAGGCTGACAATAATTATATCTCTACATGGAGAAGATTGTAATCCTCAGGCTGACAATAATTATATCTCTACATGGAGAGGATTGTAATCCTCAGACTGTCAATAATTATATCTCTACATGGAGAGGATTGTAATCCTCAGGCTGACAATAATTATATCTCTACATCAAAAGGATTGTAATCCTAAGGCTGACAATTATATCTCTACATGGAGAAGATTGTAATCCTCAGGCTGACAATAATTATATCTCTACATGGAGAGGATTGTAATCCCCAGGCTGACAATAATTATATCTCTACATGGAGAGGATTGTAATTCTAAGGCTGACAATAATTATATCTCTACATGGAGAGGATTGTAATCCTCAGGCTGACAATAATTATATCTCTACATGGAGAAGATTGTAATCCTCAGGCTGACAACAATTATATCTCTACATGGAGAAGATTGTAATCCTCAGGCTGACAATAATTATATCTCTACATGGAGAAGATTGTAATTCTAAGGCTGACAACAATTATATCTCTACATGGAGAGGATTGTAATCCTCAGGCTGACAACAATTATATCTCTACATGGAGAGGATTGTAATCACCAGGCTGACAATAATTATATCTCTACATGGAGAGGATTGTAATCCTCAGGCTGACAACAATTATATCTCTACATGGAGAGGATTGTAATCCCCAGGCTGACAATAATTATATCTCTACATGGAGAGGATTGTAATTCTAAGGCTGACAATAATTATATCTCTACATGGAGAAGATTGTAATCCTCAGGCTGACAATAATTATATCTCTACATGGAGAAGATTGTAATTCTAAGGCTGACAACAATTATATCTCTACATGGAGAGGATTGTAATCCTCAGGCTGACAACAATTATATCTCTACATGGAGAGGATTGTAATCCCAAGGCTGACAATAATTATATCTCTACATGGAGAGGATTGTAATTCTAAGGCTGACAATAATTATATCTCTACATGGAGAGGATTGTAATCCTCAGGCTGACAACAATTATATCTCTACATGGAGAGGATTGTAATCCCCAGGCTGACAATAATTATATCTCTACATGGAGAGGATTGTAATTCTAAGGCTGACAACAATTATATCTCTACATGGAGAAGATTGTAATCCTCAGACTGTCAATAATTATATCTCTACATGGAGACGATTGTAATTCTAAGGCTGACAACAATTATATCTCTACATGGAGAAGATTGTAATCCTCAGGCTGACAATAATTATATCTCTACATGGAGAGGATTGTAATCCTAAGGCTGACAATAATTATATCTCTACATCAAAAGGATTGTAATCCTCAGACTGTCAATAATTATATCTCTACATGGAGAGGATTGTAATCCTCAGGCTGACAATAATTATATCTCTACATCAAAAGGATTGTAATCCCCAGGCTGACAATAATTATATCTCTACATGGAGAGGATTGTAATCCTAAGGCTGACAATTATATCTCTACATGGAGAAGATTGTAATCCTCAGGCTGACAATAATTATATCTCTACATGGAGAGGATTGTAATCCTAAGGCTGACAATAATTATATCTCTACATGGAGAGGATTGTAATTCTAAGGCTGACAATAATTATATCTCTACATGGAGAAGATTGTAATCCTCAGACTGTCAATAATTATATCTCTACATGGAGAAGATTGTAATCCTCAGGCTGACAATAATTATATCTCTACATGGAGAGGATTGTAATTCTAAGGCTGACAATAATTATATCTCTACATGGAGAAGATTGTAATCCTCAGACTGTCAATAATTATATTTCTACATGGAGAAGATTGTAATCCTAAGGCTGACAATAATTATATCTCTACATGGAGAAGATTGTAATCCTCAGACTGTCAATAATTATATCTCTACATGGAGAGGATTGTAATTCTAAGGCTGACAATAATTATATCTCTACATGGAGAAGATTGTAATCCTCAGGCTGACAATAATTATATCTCTACATGGAGAGGATTGTAATTCTAAAGCTGACAATAATTATATCTCTACATGGAGAAGATTGTAATCCTAAGGCTAACATACCAATTGCAACTATTAGTCAGCGGCTTCTATTTATGAAAGGTCAAGGTTAGCACAGATTAAAGAAATGCAATCAAATTTACAAACTCTCCAGATATTTCATTCATACACATGAATGTCCTGGATTTGACAGTGGCTTTATCTTAACGAAACACATGTTACAGTGTAGAACACAACCGAGACAAAAGTATAAAAAAAAATTATGATATAGCTCAGTTTCTTAACATGGCAAACTTACAAACTGACTGAAAGACAGATATCATGTATTTCATCAAATATTAATAAATCATACAAATCTCATCCATGACATATGAATAAGCACTTTTAAGATTTTCTGAGTTATTGACTTTATAATGGGAGTACTCCTGACTTTTCGGTGTCGGCAATGTCCATAATCAGGTTAAACACCAAAGTCATCAATAGCTGACAAGAAACACAACTGAAATCAAATCAGTTACTCATCCATGAGATAATGAGCAGGAAGCTGAGGTTTTTTTTAGACATTTTCTCAATCCATAAGGGCCATAAATCTGTTAAAAAGGTAAATCACCAGGACCTTCTGAAGTTATGAACTTGACTTGCATATTCTTTTATACAACATACCCTTGTCAAACATGTTAAAATTTAGTTACTAATATTCATTGCATCCAGTTTTGAGAAGGAAAAAAAAGAAGAAAAAAAACTCGGTTTAAGGCCTATATAGCAGTGTTTTAAGAAATGTTGGCTAAACCATATTAACATATGAAAAGCAAATTATGACAAAATGACGGCCAGGGGCACCACTAAGCCCTTTGCGCCTATGCTATATTAAAAAATTATCAATTATTACTCTGTTTTTCACTAAATTGTAATTGTATAATTTTACCTGTGAGAAGTGATATTATAACTACTGCCAGCAAAGCAACAAAGTTGAGATAACTGGCATACCCAGACATCATCACACTTGCTTTTCAGTTCCTTGTTTTCAAACTTAATGGGTCTGGAACTCGAGTCTGTGAAACCAAAAAGATGAAAAAATATATTTCAATCTTAAATTCTCTTTCCCTCTCCCTCTCTTTTGGATAAACTTTTAAAACTAAATTCGATAAGGCTTTACACAGTTTGAAACACGATTCTATCTCATTTAGTCTTTGAGTAAGCATCTTCAAAATGAAAAAAAAAGGTATCATCATACAGATATTTGAAAAAAGATTATACATTAATCAAGTTAAGAAATTCGGCGTCGTAAGAGAGTTACTTCCCTTCGCATCGGCATCCGCTAACTGCTTGTTAGTAGACCAGTATTAACGTAGGATCTTGAAATATGCCACACTTTATGTTTAAAGCATGAGGTATTTGAATTAATATTGTGGTATCCACATTCCGACAGTCAGGTTATCTCTTGAAAATGATGTTTTATTTCGTATTGCGTAAACTCATACTCACGTGCTTCTTCGAATGTGACTTCCTGTTTACTAACAACAACTATGGGTGTACTCGGTCCGGAATGAATAACCTAATCTCAAATGTTCAAAACACAAAGTTTTATATGTCGCTTACCTAGTAGGACAATTGTAACAGAGGTTAACAAATTACATAAATGTGACATAATACTGCATCAGCAATACTTCAGCATGATTAAAATAATAAATACTGGTTTACTGTTTAAATGATAAATAGGGTTATCCAACTTACAACTATCACCAATTTTAAGTTAAATCAGGGACGTATAATACGTCCCTGGTTAAATCACTGTTAAAGTTACTATGAGGTTCGCTTAAAACATGTTTGTATATATGAACGCTTAAAACTGTTCGTATGAATTACAATAAAAAAATTGCGATGTCTCAGATGTAAGGGTTAATCTTGTTATGATAAAACGACCTAGCATTGACAAGAGCTCCCTTTTTGGATGTATTCTTGGCAAATCTAAGTCGAACGCACCCAACATATTTAGAGGGCGAGAGGAGTCATCAGAACGCTTCACAGCTATCTAATACGTCAAGTTTCATCGTGACGACACGATCTGCTCAGCTCGCAGAATGGAGGAAAACACTGAAAACTGTTCCCAACCAACGCGCGAAATAGGCGATTCAGGTATAGTAACGGTTTAAGATGAATGAGAAAATCACCATGAAATAATTTTTGACTGATTACTTAAATAGAAACATACATCTGTCTTGTATAATGTGACTAAATATCTCTGTTACATTACGTTTACGTCAACACTGACTGTTATGTCATACAAGGACTGTTGGCAGATTATCGATCACGACAGCTTCTAATGTTATAATTCTTTTTTTTCTTTCTTTCATTTGTTTGAGACTGTAATTGTTCAATTGAACAGCTGCGTGTATAAAATCCGCTTTTTATGACGAATTTTAGATATTTTCCATATGCTTCTGACTCAGAGTGGGTTTTCAGATAAATTATTCAGTATAAAAAATGATATGTATAAACCGCCTGATTCTGTCTGATCTTGTAAATCGTCTTTTGGTACTGTGCGGCACATTACGTTATGTGAAAAGAACATAATACTTTTTTTTGGCCGTTTTTTATCAATATGAAATTATAATATTTTAACTAAAGTCGTTTAACACTACAATAATTACACTTAAAACAATTTAATGTCCAAATTCTACATGTAAACTGCCCGATTCTGTCCGATCCTGCAAATCGTCTTTCGGTCCAGTGCAGCACATTACCTTATATGAAAAGAACATAATACTTTTTTGGCCGTTTTTGGAGCAGTATGAAAAGATAATATATTTTAACTGATAACATTTAACACCACAATAATTACACTAAAAACAATTTAAAATCCAAATTCTGCATATAAACCGTCTGATTCTGGCCGATCCTGTGAATCGTCTTTTGGTCCAGTGCAGCACATAATATTATGTGAAAAGAACATAATACTTTTTTGGCCGTTTTTGATCAATATGAAATTATGATATTTTAACTAAGGTCGTTTAACACTACAATAATTACACTTAAAACAATTTAATGTCCAAATTCTACATATAAACTGCCCGATTCTGCAAATCGTCTTTCGCGACCAAAACAGATATGAGTGTTTTATGTAAATACGTCTTCAGTTTCCTTTTGTATGTAATACGTCTCCATTTTTCCTGAAAAACTGAACATAGTGTTAAAAAATATGTTGGTATTAATGCGAAAGTAATTCTTTAAAATGAATAAAACGGCACTGTTCTACCCTGATTCTGCCCGATCCTGTAAATCGTCTTTCGGTCTTGCACGGCACAGTATGTTCTGCCAGAAAAATACAATATTTTCGCCATTTTTGGTAAATTTGAAACTTAAATATTTGAATAATGGTCATTTAAAAACAAATTTACACTAAGAACAATTTAATGCCCAAATTCTACATATAAACTGCCCGATTCTGCTTGATCCTGTAAATCGTCTTTCGGTCTTACGCGACCAAATCAGAAATTAGTGTTTTATGTAATATGTCTTCATTTTTCCTTAAAAACCTTTCACAATGTGTAACATGATGATATCAATGCAAAAGAAATTCACAAAAATCATTAAAACAGCACTATTCTAGTCCGATTCTGCCCGATCCTGCCTGATTCTGCCTGATCCTGTAAATCGTCTAACCCCTTACTTACAGTTTAGTTTTTAGTAAATTTGTTCAAACGCAACCCAAGAAGCAATGGTTCACTGCTTGCCATCACATACCTATCTTGATTTTATATTAGTACTTAGAGATTGTATGTTTATACTGTATTAATTAGTAGGCCCAGGCCTTCAAGGAGACCGTAGTTATAATGAGTGTAACATTCACACAAGTCATTATTTCATTTCAATGCCTTTGCCAGGTTCAGAGCTGGAATTTCTCGATTACTGGTCTTGTGCTTCACCAATCAAGCTTAAGTAAATTCTCTCCAACTAGCCAAGAATTACCTTTATATTGCAGCGAGTATTTACTAGGGTTACATAGATAATTGCATATATACTGTATCTACCTTCGGATGTAATTTACAGAACACCACAGTGTAATACTGCCACTGTCTTTATATTTTGGACTAACAAATTAGTCCACTGCCTGGAGCTTTATGGATAGTAAATTTAGTCGAAACCTTGTGATATGACAGATTATAGGATTTAAGCTTAGTGCTTTTAAGTTAGTCCAAAAATTGAGAAAAACTTCAGACTTATGAATTGCAAGGAAAATATTAGATTATAATTTATTATCAGAGTTCATGTGTATAAGAATATAGCTAGGTTGAACTAGTAAATCATTTCAAAGGCTGTTTGCGATATATCTAAATATGTAATACTCAAGCACAAGATATAGAGTTTTACATATATAGCACTGTGATTGGCTTTTAGTAATGAAGGGACACTTGATGATCTTTTAAATCATTTTGTATTGGACAGGTGAATATCCATTGATATGGACTGGTACAAAGAGATAACCTTAGACTAAAATGTCCTGAGTTCTTAAATATGATAAAGTTCACCACCTTTTAATATTGTCTAAACTGGCTGGAGGTCATGTATACTGATAAGACAAGCTGGTATCCAAGGTCAGTAGCCTGTTGCAGGTATCAGTCTGACAGTATATGGACTAGCTGTATGTTGGATGGTCTAATGATAAATATCGTATCTGATTTATATTATGAGTTCGGTCCTGAAGAAGCCCGGGAGGACGAAAGCGGTAGACGGTATAATAAATGCTAGTAACTACCACTCCGCAGACTGTTGTGATTGATTCTTATAGTCTGATTTATATTATCATTCTTTCTTTTTCTGATTTGTTTATGCAGAGAAGAAAATTTAAAAAATTAGTTAAATATTTTGATATCTTTTCATGCAAATGTGTTTTGATTATGGAATGTAATTAAGTTATAATTCATCAGATGTACATATATTTATATAAAATTTAAATGTAGTTAAATACAGATCCTAATTTAATTGTAATTAAATTTAATGGGTTTTACATCTACTATTACAGCCTTTCAGCTTTTCAGGGGACGAGTGCAGTACATACCCTATCCCAGACTCCCTTATAATATCACTGACTGATCTGGACGATGCTATGCATATATCTATATACACAAGGATTCTGTGATCAAAATGATAATACAGTGAAACCTCACCTAACGACCACCTCAAAATTACGACCACCCCACTATTACGGGCACTTTTTTTCAGTCCCATTTTTTTCCACTATATATCTTTGTATTGGTCGCTTCAGTATTACGACCACCCCGCTATTCCGTATTACGACCACTTCATACAGTCCCAACGACCACTTATTAACGATAATTGACCTCACCATTACGACCACGGTCTGACCAGTGATTAAAGTTTACCTGGTGGGCAGTGAACCGCGAACGTGTGCGTCGTTCACGACCATTGTTTTCGTCACGGGTTACCGACCCTTTCACCAGGTGGCGTTAAACGAAATAAACATCATTATCGGATTAACTTGGCCTACCCGTCCGAAACCGCGTGCTAGACACGTTTTAATAGCGATCTGTTGTTTGTTAATTATATTTTGATAGATCGGTAGGTATGCTGTTAAACACCTTAGAAGCCCTGCATACACAAAAGTGAATTATGCAGTCGTTTCGGCCGATATTCCTTGGCTTGCACGCGCACACGTTGTCGAGGGTTTTTAACTTTTTTTAGCAATGTTACACTCTCAATATCGTTTGAACAATAAAAAAACGTGTATGTGTTCCAATTTTTTTACGACACATTTTCTCTGTCTCAAAACTCCGATGAACTTTATCAAGCAATGACGAAACCACGGAAACGAAACGAGTTATCGCGATCGGTAAAAAGGACGTATGAAAGAGGAGGCTGTCCAGATCCGTAGCTCTTCGCAATATTGTGCACTGGACTCTTTTTTATAAATAAAAAGAAAAATGTGTTGTACTGAGTGATACACTGATAAAGATAATGTGTTTGCGATTTTATGTGAAAAATGAAGCGTTGAAAGACTTTATAGTGACTTCATTAAAGTTGTTACGAATACTGAGTAAATGTGTTCGTAAATTTATGTGAAATAGTTGCAAAATTAACGTTGAATTCCAATTGAACTTAAAATGGATTGTTTGTTTCCTTTAATCAATGTTTATAATAGTAAATATACATGTATATTATGATATTAACTAAGGAATATATTAATAATTATTCTTCTGACAATTCAGCAATTTTGTCTTTTTTAAATGCATTTCATAAAATTCAACATTTTAGTTTATTATTATCAGTTATTATTGTTGAATAATATATATGTACATTACTTAATGATATATATACTCTTTATTTTAAACAGAGTTACAGTTCTTTGTGGTCAATCTGATCCACCTCACTATTAAG